CCCTGGCACCGCACTGGGGCTCTGAGGGGACAGAGCCTCCTACCTAGTCACCCACCAGCAGCACTAAACCCAGAGGACAAAGGGGCCCTACTGAGTCACCCACCCGGCTGCCCACACCACAGCACCCCCTAGTGCCACCCTGAGGCATCGGGCATGACCCAGAGGGAAGAGCACAGCACCCCACCATTGCTGAAGGGGTGGCTCAGCCGGAAGAACCCCCCCGCCCCTGCCCCAGTGAATGACAACACTGTTGCCTGCGGCACCCTGGATTGTTCCTGGCCTCCCACCACTCACTAGCCCAGCATGAGGCTGTGGAGCCAGCCGGGCAGCGGATCCCACGCACCATGTCCTGCAACCGCGCTTGTAGGTACCGGCGGCTTCCCAGCTGTCCCTCTGCTACATGGCACGGCCACGCGGGACCTCGTGGGAAACGGAACTCGGGTCTGCTGGCGCTGAGAGCACAGGCCCTGCCACTTCAGCCAACTCCACCACGAGCCCTACAGAGGCTATGACACCCAATGGAGCACTTCTGAAGCCAGTCAGCAGAGGGCGCACACACCCGTTGCAGGGTAACATAACAGCATGATCTGCAGAGAGCGACCATGGGGATGGGGTGCGACTTTTGCTAAGGACCACGTGGTTTTCGGGGCTTTGGGTTTCAAGGCAGGTTTAATCGCACTGTTAAACACTAACAGAATACCAATTTAGTTAAATATTTTTGGATGTTTTCCACGTTTTCAAGTATACTGATTTCACGTAGTACACAGAATACCAAGTGCCCAGTGCTCACTTTCTATTATAGTTTTGATTACAAATATTTGCCCTGTAAAAAAGATTTAAAAAATGGCATTTTTCAATTCACCTCACACAAGTCCTGTAGCGCAAACTCTTCATTGTGAAAGTGCATTACAAGTGTGTGTGGGGGGAATTAGAGGTAGGACCCCGTAAATGTAAATAAATGTGTTTGTCTGAGCGATTGGCTGAACAAGAAGTAGGACTGAGTGGACCTGGAGGCGCTGAAGTTTTACATGGTTTTGTTTTTGAGTTATGCAACAAAAACAAATCTACATTTGTAAGTTTCACTTTCAGGATAAAGAGATTGCACTACAGTAACCTGTATGAGATGAATTGAAAAATACTTTTTCTTTTCTTTACCTGTCTCACAGTGCAAAGATCTGTCATCAAAAATAATAATATAAAGTGAACACTGTACACTTTGTATTCTGGGCTGCCATTGAAATTGGTAAAAAGCAACAGAGGGTCCTGTGGCACCTTTAAGACTAACAGAAGTATTGGGAGCATAAGCTTTCGTGGGTAAGAACCTCACTTCTTCAGACTAACACGGCTACCCCTCTGATAATTGAAATTGGTATATTTGAAAATGTAGAAACACATCCAAAAATATTTATAATCAGTTTCAATTGGTATTCTATTATTAACAGTGCGATTAATTGGGTTAATCGTTTGAGTTAATGGTGATTAATTGGCAGCCCTAGTGTAGCCGCTGCTTTGCTGGGTCCGCAGCTGCTTGGCGTTGTCTGGAAGTGCCCTGGCCCCTTGGCAGAGAGCCCCGAGCTGCAGTTTACATTAGCCGGTGCTGTGCGGAGCGCAGGGCGCAGGCAGCCAGAAGCGCAGCACACCTGGTCTCTCTGCACATACCTTAGTTCCCTGGGCGTTCAAACCACAATGAAGGAGCTCAATGTTCACCTGAGTTCCTCCCAGCCTCCGACCTTCCCCGGAGACACTAGACAAACAACCCGGTGTTTACAGTCCTTGCATTCGGTCTGCCAACGTGTGGACAAACGGAGAAGGGAAAAGCGGAGGGGGAGCGAATTCCCGGCAACACAGGGCTCGCCGCCTCCTCGTTGCCAACTGTCCACCACACAAATGGCGCCAGAACAATCGGCGCGAGTTGGCAGCCTGGCTGGCATTCCACAGGGACCGAGTGAGGTCTGGCTGTGCCCTCTGCCCCCTCGCGGTGCTCTGGGCACTGCCGGGGAGCTCTCCCGGGTGCGCCCAGGCTGTGGCTGAACACAGAGCGGCAGGGACTGCCAAGCCAGCGCCACTGGGAGAGCTGAGGCTACCTAACTCGTGTCAGAGGTGACTGTTCTGCTGGGTCACAGCTGGGCTTCCCGAGAGGCACCCAGCTGATGTGTTTGTCATTAGAACTCCTGCTTAGCATGCGATCGCCTAAGCAGCCCCGATGCAGGGCCTTTCCCCTGGCGGGGCTCCCCCAGGCTCCTCAGACACAGACTCACCAACGCCCATCGCCGAGCCGGGCTCATTCCATCGGCTGCCAAAACGCGCGACGTTTAACGGCAGCCGCTCAGGACGGGACACGACAAGGAATCCTGTGCCCTGTGGAAATCCCAGGAGCAGGTCCCGGGGTAGGGCCCTGGCCAGGACCCTGTCCTCAGACCCTTAGGAACCCCGTCCCCTGATCTGTAATAATCCCCCAGTGCCGGCTGTGCCGTGTCTCCTCGTCTCCCAGTCAGCACTGTCCCCTCACATCTCTGACTGTCAGCACCAGGGCAGGGATGGCCTCTCTGTTCTGTGGGCATACGGTGCCAAGCACAAGGGGCTCTGTGACAGGGGCCGCCAGGGGCCGCCCCAGCCAGCCTAAAGCCACGTGGTCCCTGGGCACCATGGCTGAGGAGCAGGGACCCAGAGGGAAGGGCGCCACCTAGTGACCCAGTACCGCACCTGGGAACACTGCGCCCTGCAAACACCGGCTAATGAATCATGGATTAAATAATAAGCGATGCTAATTAAAAGCAGCTGAAAATCCACACTCCAGCTCCCAGCTCCAGCTGTGACAGGCCTTCGGGGCCGTGTGTGTGCCCGCGGCAAGGCCAGGGTCCAGCCGCTCCCAGCAGCAGCAGGGTCGGGCCCAGAGTCAGGGCTGGGGGCAAGGCATTTCATTTCTGAAGGGGCGGGGGGGGGGGGGGGGTGTGTTATTTTAAGCCCCTGTTTCTTTAAGAGCAAAGAGCTGCCCCTTCCGGACCGAGCTCACGTGGGGGCGCTGGGGGGGAGGGTAACGGCTCCTTGCTGCACCACCAGCCGCGCTCCGCCTAGCATCTGTGCCAGGTGCCAACGTTGCCGGAGGAATCCCATTGGCTGACGGCCATCACGCTACGGAGCCAGCCAATCAGATGCCAAGCGGTGGCTGTGCCAATCTAGCTGGGGGGGGGGAAAGGGGGCGCGGGCTCAACAGCCACTCAGCACCAGCTGCCAAGTTTTTTTTAGTGGCATGTTTTTTACGAGGCTCCGAGGTGCTGGTCGGGTGCCAAGGTGGGAGCTGGGCTCCAGCAGCTGCAGTGCTGGGAAAGCGAGGGAGGCAGGAGCAGAGCCAAGACCCGGAGAGCAGAGTCCAGGATGGGCTCCGGAGTGAACTCAGAACCGGGCCAGGCCGGGCGACTCACCTCCCGCCCTTTGATGCCCAATTCAAACCCAACGAGAGTCTTTCCCTTGGCGTCACAGTGGGCCCTTTCTCCCCAGCTTGGGCAGCAACAGGGCCCCTCTCTGGTGGAGCCCAGATTCCACGACCCACACAACCCTGGCCCCCCCTTCTGAGACCCCTCAGCGGTGGTGTGAGGGGAGCAACCAGGCTCCCCAAACCCCCTGCACAGCAGCCACTCCAAACCATCCCCGGGCTGGGCTTGAACCAGCATCTTAGTGGTCAAAAGCTGTGATTGCCACCATCAGCCCACCCCCAGCCTGGCCTTCCTCCGCCCTGCAAGCAGTTGGGCGGGATTTGTCTCTAAGGCGGTGTCTTGTTGCCGGGGATTCGCAGTGACTGGCAGGAGCGGGACCCTGCTTCTCTCCCCCAGGCTCCGGTCCCTGCTTTAACAGTTGACCGTGTGGAAGTAGGCAGGGGAAGCGCCTGGCACACCAGGGCCCCATCGCACATCTCCATGGGCTGTGCCCGCACACATGTGGCTGGTGCAGGGCTAGTCCCCATGGCAGCCCACTGGGTGTCGCTTTGCCAGAGGCCCAGGCTGGCTCTTGGGTGTCTCCATGGAACCGGCGGCTCTGCCCTGTTCTCTGTGCACTAGCAATCCCAGGATGCATTGCCACGCTGGTGCCACTCTGCACACGTGTCCCTGGGCACTTCGCCCCCTGCTGAGGCACAGCTGCCCGGATTCTCCCAGAATGCACTGAGACGAAGCCGGCGAGGCAGCGTGGGGGATGCTCAGGCACAGGGAGACGCGCGGCTGCACGGGCACCACCCAAGCGCGTTCCTGTACCAGGGTCAGACGCGGGCGTCACGGCCTGTGACAAATCTCACTGGGCCTACGCTGGAGCACAGGCTGCCCCAGCGCCCAGGGAGAGCCCAATTCCCAGGTACACACAGGTCCCTTTGGGCCAATCTGCTTTGAGGGCCCTTAATGTAGGCACTAATGGCCCCCTGAGCTTCCTCTCGGCTGGCACAGAGCTGGAGGAAGGGCACGGCACCCACGCTGCTGCTGGCGCCCGGCTGGGGTGCACCACGCTGCGGCTCTTCTCTGCTGCCCACATGGCCTCACATGTGGAGAGAGCCAAGGCTTAAAGCCACCTTAGCCGGCCCCTTCTGCTGGGCCTGCCCCGAGTGACTGAATCCGGCCCTGAGCAGCCTCCCTCGGCCTTGCCATGCTGGGTCGTCACTCCCTCTGCTCCGCCCAGGGGGCGTTCTGCGCCCGCTTTGCCCTGGGCTCCGACGGACGGCAGGTGAGGCTGCGTGACGCCGGCTCGGCAGGACGCCGCCCGCTGTCACTTGAGAGGCTGTCTGGCCGTGCTCCTCCCCCAGGGCCTCGCTGCTCACATGCCCACAGGCCGGCCTGTTCCCACATGGCACCCCAGGGAACCTGATCGCCGGGGTTGCCCATGAGGCTGAGTCACCAGGATGCTGGCTGTTTCCTACCCAAGTCCTGGTCGTGGCTGGAAGGCAGGGTCCCTGCCCAGCACGGCCTGCGAGTGCTTCCCTGCCATGGCAAAGAGCCCCCAGCGCACGCAGCTCTTACCTGTGCCTGGTACATACTCCCCGGATCCCTTGGTCCTAATCCCACGAAGGAACGATTCGCAGGGGGCGTGCCGGGTGCAGAGTAGGCTGGGGACAGAAACGAGAGCTCGTTAGCCCGGCGAATGGCAAGCCCCTCCGATGCGCTGATCAGTCCCCACGGCCCAGCACCGGCGGCCGCACACCCCTGGGAAGGGGCACGATCGAGGTCACCCCAGGACACAGCTGGGATCAGAACCCAGGCGTCTCTGGCACAGGGCTGGGCTCCAGCTGCTAGGCCACACTGCCTCGTTATGGGCGCCCTACCCACGCGGTCGCTCTGTCTAGCTGTCCCAAAGGGTTTTGCTTCCTCTGTGTTGATACTGATGGCAGGGCCTGGGGAATGGACTGCAGCCACTTCCCGTGGGTGTGTCTCAACTACACTTGCTCTGAATGGTTAGTGATGGTGAGACCCCCCGAGTCTAGAATCCTGGTTACGCACAGCCTGGGCAGCAGCAGGGTGATACCAGCAGTACAGGGACTAAGACACATGGGTCTAGTCCCACCCCCCAGAGAGCAGGATCACACACACAGCACTCAGCACTTCCCATGCCAGGATCTGGGAGCTTCCCAAAGCCCCGTGACCCAAGGCACAGCGCGATCCGCAGCCCCTCGCCAATGGTGGGGAAACCCAAAGATGAAGCAACTTGCCCAAGGCCACACAGCAAATCAGTGGCAAAGCTAGGACTGGTCCCCAGAAGGCCTGGCTCCCAGGCCCCTGCTCTACCCACTAGGTCACATATCCTCCACTAACCCCCCTGAATTTTAATCACAGCCCTCAGATGAGGGGGCGGAGCTAGTTGCAGCACAGCATGCTGGGAGCTGTGGTTCTCAGAGCCTCAGGGAAGGCTGTGTCTCTGCTTGGCGCTGTGCATGGAACTGCGCTGACATGGCCCAGCCCCGTGGGGAGGGTTAATACAAGCTGGGCGAGGAGTTGCCTCCCGGTGCTCCTGGGACTGGCCATGGGTGGGGCATCAGATGGGCTGAGGGCAGCTGCCCTAGGCACCTGGGGAGACCCCGAAGCCCCCATGCAGACCCGTTGGGTCTGTGCCCCACGCTGACAGGGGCAGCTCCCTGGCCCCCTCCAGTGGCTGGGCTGTGTAGAGAGCTTTAGAAGCCCGTAGTGCTACCGGTCAACTTGCACTGGCCCGTCAGCTCTGTTAGAGCCAGAGGTCTGGGGCTCAACGGGGGGCATGGATACGTGTCCCCCGCGGCTGAGCCCTGCCGTCTCGCCATCCCAGGGGGCACCGCGGACGCACTGCGCAGGCTGCGGATGGATTGGCAGAGCCGCCAGCTCTCCCACTGCTCCCCAGCCTCCGGGGATGCTGGGACATTTCCCCTGGGCTTGGGTGGGTCTCCAGGTCCACGGCTCTGGCCGGATATTTCCCAGACCGGAGGGAGTGGATGAAAAATCCATCATTCATCAATGCCGATGAAATATTCAAGGCAGCCCCTCCCGGCGCCGGCTCGGTCCGAACGCGCCTCCTCCGCTCTAGCTGGAAGGTGGCTGCAGAACTGACAAGTGTTTCCTCGTTCGCTCCCATCAGCGAGCGCCGGGTTCTCGATCGGCGATTACGGTTTGCTGGCGGCCTTTCGAGCTAGGGGCTCGGGGGACGTGCAGGGCAGTCAGGCTCTGCTTCCTTCTCGCTGGGGTGTGGCTGGCAGCTGGGCTTCCAGGGGGCACGTGGCCTGGGGGGGGCAGAGTATGCTCCGGGGGGGCACGGCTGAGGAGCCAGCATTGAGCCAATGCACTGGGAGGTGCTAGGCGATGACACGGGATGGCAACATGAGCGGGGCTGTGTCGGTGCCCTGGGAGCTCGGCCTCTGCCATGGGGCACACTCTGCCATGCTGATGCTGTGTCCTGGCGCCCCACTGGGCCAGGCCCATGGGAACGGGTAGACGGCTCCAGCTGGAGAATGGGGTGAAGAGGGGCAAGGCCCATGGCTTGGGATATTTTAAACAGGCAGGACGGAGCGGGGCGGGAGGGGATGGACTGGATGCGACATCGGGCTGGGGGGCGCGGGATCCCATCTGAGACCCCAGCCTGCCCTGAACTCCATGGCAAACCCCCGCCCCTCCGTGCTGCCCATGCTGGGTGAATGCCGGGCGGCAGGACCAGCTGCTACTGAGCCCCGAGAATGCTCCAGCTCTGATGCTCACAAGCTCTAGGGAGCTGGGCCCCGATTTCTATGGGGCTCTGGTTGGACCCATCAACCTGTTCAGTGCACCAAGTGCCTTACAAATCCTCATGGGCTGGAAGCTGAGGGGTGAACTAGCCACTGGCCGCCATCGCTAACGAGGGCATGGCCTCTGGCTCGTTAGACTCATCATGGACGCTCTTCCTTTGACGTTTCCAGTGCATTTGCAGCTTTCCACCGTTGCTGTTTAGTTTCGCATATGCAGTGATTGGGAGTTCGGGACACCGTGCGTGCCAATGGATGCATGGATTTAATCCTCCAACCGTCAATCCTACATCGTCCTTCCCTAACACCTTCCACTGGAGGAGCTCAATGCACCGTGACCATTAGCCAATGGAATTCCCCGCCAGCCCGTGGGACAGGCATTAGCTCCATCCCCCCAGCTATTTTCCATATGGGGAAACTGAGGCACAGAGCGATAAAGTGACTTGCCCAAGGGCTGCCAGGAAGTGTGGGGCTGAGCCAGGAACAGAACCCCGGAGTCCGGCTTCCCTGCCCATCCTGGGTTTGAAATCCCTAGCACTTTCGTTGTGAAACAGACCTGGACACATGCACCATGGAGAGGCCAGTGAAGGAGGCGAGTTTGCCAGGCGGAGCGGAGAAGCAGCACAGAGTGAACGTTCCCGGCAGCACCAGCTCAGACCTGCCTCTCCAGGAAGGTCAGAGCGGCCAGCAGCAGAGACCCACGTCCTGGGGAAGCACAAGGCCAGCTCCCTGCTGGAGCACCGGGCCCTGCCCCAGGCTGTGGAGCAGGCCTTGGATACAAGAGAGGGAAGCTCAGTGCCCGTGGCCCATTCAGTGCCCTGAGGGGCCAAGCAGGGGATGCGACTTGAAGACCTGCCCACTAAGAAGCCAACGGAGACCCAGGAAACTCGTTCCATGCAGGCTGTCAGACAGCAACTAATTTTGCTCTCTAATGGGCAGGGGGTCCCTGGCTCCCAAACGACTCCACGCCACCTCCCCTGAGCCCCTTGCTCTGGGCACGAGGCCGCAGACAACACCCATCGCTCCCCAGCGCCAGCGTGACGGGATGGATGCAGAGCTGGAGGGCGGGAGGCAGGAGGAGGCGTGGTGAGGGGACTCAGTGGATGGCACCGGGGCCAGGCTGGCCCATCGCGATGCCGCGGGCTGCTTACTGGGTGATGTCGGTGAGGTTGTCCCGCCCTCAGAAGTTGTCGTGGTGGATTTGGTGTCAGGAGAGAGAGCCAGCCGGGGGATGCCAGGGGGAGGTGGCGGCGCCAGCATCTGGGTGGAAATGTAGTGACTGGGCACTTTCACTTGACCACTTCCATTTAACTGGGGACACAACACAGAGAAAAACAAACAAGCCGTTAGGAAGCAAGAGCAGCCCAGCGCCGGCGTCCTGCCCCGCAGCCCCCAGCCGGCCCTCCCGGGCGCGTCGCCGCAGGTGCCACTGGCACGGCGGGTGGGGGGAGCCCTGAGAGCCCTAGGGGTCTGGTCCAGGCGGAGGCCTCGGGGGCCTTGGGGCTGCTTGGGGACAGGGACGAGGGCCGGGCTTCAGGCACCCACTGGGGCAGCTGATGGAAAAGAGCAGATGCAAAGCCAGGGCCCTGCTTGGAGGCAGCGTGGGGAATCCCAGGCTCTGGTACCAGCCCTGCACAGGCCAGCCCGCCTCCTGCAGTGCCC